CTCCCACACTTCTTCAAATAAATGCACTGGTCAGCTATGTTCTCTTCAAAACCATAAGATGAAACAGTTTGGTGAATTTTGAAATACCACCTCCTGCTTGCTTGCTTTAGTCCATAAATTGCCTTACCGAGTTTGCAAACCATATGCTCTTTTCCCTCCTTTGCAAACCCTTCAGGTTGCCTCATATAATTTTCTTCTTCGAGTTCACCATTCAGGAAGGCAGTTTTGACATCCATTTGATGCAAAAGTAGGTCATAATGCGCCACCAAAACCATAATGATGCGGGAAGAATCTTTGGTGGAAACTGGAGAAAACGTCTCAGTGTAGTCAATTCCCTCCCTTTGGGTAAATCCTTTGGCTACCAATCTAGCCTTAAATCTTTCGATTCTTCCATCTTTATCCTTCTTTATCTTAATACCCATTTCGAGCCTACCAATTTCTAGCTCTTATGAGGTTCCACTAATTCCCATACTTGATTATTCTTCATGCTTTCAACTTCATTCAACATCGCTTCCCTCCATTTGTCTGCATTCTGACTCTCTATTGCCATTTAAAACTTGTACAATCAGTCTCAACAATTCGGGTACCATAATTTGGATAATAAAATCTAAAACCCTTTGACCTTGCGGGATAACCTATAAAAAGACAGCTAATCGTTTTAGGATCAAGCTTCTTCTCCTGAGGGATATAGATTCTAGTTTCAGTCTTGCAACCCTATACATGAAGATGTCTTAGGCTAGGCTTTCTGGTAGTCCAAATTTCGAAAAAGTGTCTTAAGTACGGAGTTACTAGGCACTCTATAGTTTGTTGTTTTGATCTCCTCTCTCAAAAAACATTGGCAAATCAGATTTAGAAATCTCGCTAAGAACCATGTCCTTCAAAGTTCGATTTCTTCTCTTAGCCACGCCATTCTGTTGCGGAATCCTTGGCGTTGTGTACTGAGCAACTATTCCATTTTTCTTGTAAATACCTTGCAAAAAGTCCAGCACGTCGTCCTCCTTCATCAAAACGTCCATAATATTCACCCCCTTTGTCCGACCTCACAATCTTAATCTTTTTCTCAAGCTGCCTTTCTACTTCAGTTTGGAAAACCTTAAACATTTCAAAAGCTTGAGACTTTTCTGCTATGAGATACAGATAACCAAAACGAGAATGATCATCTATAAAGGTGATGAAATAATAATTTCCATCAATTGTTTGATGAGGGAACGGTCCACAAAAAACTGTGTGGATGATTTCTAAGAGATCATTACTACGAGTTGCACCCTTCTTCTTAGTCTTAGTGAGCTTTCCTTTAACACATTCAATACAAATTTCATCATCACCAAAAGTTAGTGATGGCAAGATTTGTTCCTTAACCAGAATTTTCATTCTCTCTTTTGAAATGTGCCCTAAACGTCTATGCCATAACCTAGTGGATGTTCCTTTACTTCTAATCTTTTCTCACTCGATTTAGCTATTTAAAACTTCACCATCTTTATTGTAATTACGACAATATAATCCTCCTTTATTGTCCTTGAATTCTGAGATGAAACCATTTTTAATTGAATCCAAAATAAAACCAAGTCTTAATAATCTTGAAA